TGTGTGTGTATGCCTGTGTTTGAGAAAGAGAGAGAGAGTGTGTGTGTGTGTGTGTGTGTGTGTGTGTCCTTGTATGGCAGCTTCTGAATGTGTGAATGGGTGAGTATTGATTTGTGAAAGAAAAAGCATTGTGAGTTGTCATAAAGACTTATATAAATGCAGTCTCATTACTGTTTAACATGACTTGTTTATTCCTTTAACATGTCTTAATTTCATCACACTAGTAAAGTCTATCAAACTTTACCTTATTCAGAAAAAGAATAAAGTGAAAAGCTCCTGTTACTGCAGATACCCTGCTGATGACTCAACATAATTATAATAATAATAATACATTTATTTTGTAAGCGCTTTTACAGGTGCTCAAAGTCTCTTTACAGAGGTAGTAAAAAATGGCAATAACACAACAATCACACATTAAAAGCCAGTTTGAAGAGTTTTTGTACGTTTTTTGAAGGTGGTGAGGTCAGTGCAGTCTCTGACCTCACCATGTATTAAAATAGATAATAAAGTGAATTAGTCCCATCCTCAGTAAATTACGTCTTTGTCCATTTCTGAGTGTTGTGTCTGTCCATGTGTCCCGCAGGCTGGCCGCCCCACCGCACCCTGCGAGGACACCGGAACAAGGTGACGTGCGTCCTGTACCCGCACCAGATCTCCCCTCGCTACGACCAGCGCTCCCTGGTGTCCGGAGGAGTGGACTTCTCCGTCATCGTCTGGGACATCTTCACCGGAGAGATGAAGCACATCTTCTGCGTCCACGGAGGGGAGATCACGCAGCTCATCGTCCCGCCGGAGAACTGCAGCGTAAGACCTCTTGACATGTCTCTGGGATTTCTCTGTCTGGAGTTTCACTTTTGTTTATTTTCTTTCTGTAGTGTGTTGTGTTGCCTAAATTACTGTGTCTAAATGTTTAAGGGTCTGATGTCATTGTCGGAGAGAATTCTAACGACATTGGTTTGTTGTGTTCAAATGTTAGACACACACACACACACACACACACATATTAAACCAAACGACATTAGGATCATATTTGTCTGACAGTAAGATCAAATGGTTGTAATTGTTGTTATGATGGAAATAAGATGTGCGATGCTGTTGTGTTATCGGAGTCGGACCAATATTACCTCATTCACACCAACGGTGTTTCAGGGCCGGTTCGGAGCTGGAGCTTGAAAAGCACCGGGTTTTCCTGTTCACACCGCAGCGGAGCAGCCTCTTAGCTCCGGAACCCGGTTCATTTCGAGCACCAAAAAATTGTCCGCCCAGAGCAAAAGCACCTTCGTCCCGCCTTCTGTATAAGTTTTTACAGTGTGTTATAGATAAGAGTAATGAAGTTTATAGTTATAGTCGACGCTGCAAGTAAGTACACTAGAATTTGGTCGACAACTAACTAGTCCTTTTCAGTACGGAAACCTTTTTTTTGAACGGTTTCTTTCACGGTTTATCAGACATTGTAAAAACTTCTTGAATTTTTAGTAAATTCCAAATTCCTAAAAGGTTACACGTCTGTCTTTTGTACATTCCAGGATTAATTTTCACTCACTCTATAGTCTATGGAGTAAGTGTGGTTGCGTGAGGCCAAGTTCGGCACGATCTCGAAGTTCAAGTCTTGGCCAAGAAGCCAAATCGAGGCCAAGAAAAGTGGTGGCGGGGTCTCGGCTGAACCGACCAGTAACGCAGTAGCAAACGCAGTACTACATTGCAAACGCCGGACGAAGTACTTTCGGTTTTTGGCGTGCCTTTGGTGAGTGTCGACTGTGGCTGTTGTTGTTGTTACCGGCTAACACGAGGTCGAAGGAGCAAATGGAGAGTCTTCTGGTCCGAAGGGTCAATCCATCGACCAGAGAAGTCACCTGGTGACACGAACATTCAAAGGGGTAGCAACACATGGTTTGACCTATTTTGCGGCCGAAAACAACAAACAAGTCCTCAACTAGGGCGGGGAAGGGGACGAGGCGGAGCTGCATTCGCC